ATATTAATTTTTTATTATTTATTTATTAAAGTATCATACGCAATCCTTTGTTGTGCATTCAATTTCGGAACGTTTGAATGAATTGTTTCCGTTAATACTTCAATATTATACTGTTCTCTTTATAACTCGTGGTTGATTGCATCGCGTATGGGACGATTTGGTGCTGTCGTAGCCAAACTCGACAATACTTTATGTGTCATCGATAAACACAAATATTCCGTCAATGTCTCATTGTAAATTTATGCAGTAATGTACATACATCCTCAGACATGTCAATCCATAATTCTTCTGGATTTGAGGGGAAACATGTTGATATTATAATTGCAAACAATGTGCGAATTTGATGCGGTAATGAAGATATGACGGAATTCGTGAGAGTATTATCCCAATGCGAATCATTCTCGAGCAATTGTAGTAGTTGACACGCCTCACGGAAAGGTGCACACAGATGTCCATCAACTGTTCTGTTGTTGAAACGATGTCAGACCACGAGCATTCACCTACAATAATCGAAGATAATTACATTAATCGTTATTTGCACGTACTGTCCAGATGCTCAACAACCGAAGCCGGTGTTGAGTTAATACAAGAAATTTTTAATGCCTGGGAGGATTCACAGGATGCGTAAGGTGTTTTCTGTGACCTATCTAAGACATTGTGTTTTTCATGAAACATTTGATTAGGAAACTTCATTTTTATGGATTTAAAGATAACTCATTGGATTTAATTATCTCGTGCTTGACTGACGGAGTACAGAGGGTTGATATCAATGGCAAAAGATCCCCTGGATCGAAAGTCAAGATGTGTCTTCCGCAGGGCTCACCACTTGGTCCTTTCTTGTTTTTGATTTATATAAATGACTTGCCTTATTTCGTAAGGGATGATCACGAGAAAGTTTTGTTTGCGGATGACACTTTACTTTTAGAGGGCTATCTCTTAATGACTAAAGTAGTACATTGGTTTAATGTAAATAATCTTCTCCTTAATGAAGGAAAAACAAAATGCCTAAATTTAGTAGATATAAATGTTAATATAAAAGATAAGAACATGGGCCTTGTGGATACCCCAGTATTTTTGGCAATAACATTAGATTCTCAACTACAGTGGGGCCCACATATTGATAAATTGTCGAGTAGACTTAGCTCTGCAGCATATGCCGTAATGAAGATACGTAGGATAACTGATATAGATACTGCCAGATTAGTATACTTCAGTTACTTTCATAGTGTGATGTCGTACGGAATTCTATTGTGGGGAAATGCTGCCGACATATAAACGATTTTTGTGCTTCAGAAAAGAGCAATTAGATCAATTTATAATCTTAGGATTAGGGACTCTTTAAGGGAAAAATTTAAGGAAATAGACAAAATGACTGTTGCTTCTCAATACATATACGAGAACTTAATGTACGTTCGTAAAAATATTAGTTTGTTTTATATAAAAAGAGACGTAAACAATTTGGCTTCGAGAAATAAAAATAAATTAACGGTGCCTGTCACTAGACTGCAAAAAGTTAATAACTCATTCAGGAGTCTTTGTGTGCACTTCTACAATAAGGTCCCAAGCAAAATACAACAATTAGACATCATGCAGTTTAAATCTACTATTAATAAAATACTTATTAAAAAAGCTTATTATAAATTATATAATAGATAAGAATGCTTGGACTTGAGATGAAAAACACAATCAAATACCTTAGATAGGTTGCAGAAAACACCTCGCACCATGTGAATCCACCCAAGCGTTAAAAATTTCTTGTATTAACTCGACACCGGCTTCGGTTGTTGAGCGACCCCTTGTAAAACCAAATTGTTGTCGATTCATAAGGTTATTCTTGTAAAAGTATGTTTGTATTTGATCCAGCATGATTTTTTCAAAAATCTTACTAAACGTAGGTAGCACGGATGTAGGTCTAAAGTTAGTTTTGTCAAATGTGCTACCCGATTTATGTAAAGGAATAATTTTACTATATTTCATAAGCGCAGGAAAAATATCACAATCATTCGTTAAATACATAAGCTAGGATTGGAGCTATTGTCTCAATTACTGATTTAGAAACTTCAATGGAATTACCCCATAAATCAGCGGTTTTCTTTTTCTTTGGCTGATTCAAAGCTTTTATTATATCTTTAAAATCAATGTGTTGAAACTTAAATTGGCTATTACAATTATTTAAACTGGCTTTAAAATAGATTTAGCAACAGTGGAAGAGGAATTCAAAGATTGTGTAATTAACACTGGAATTTCAGTAAATAAATTTTCTAATACTGTAGCAACTTCAAGATCGGATGTTACTTTTTTATTATCAATGTTCAAATTAAAATTTATATTCCACGTCATTTTAACTTTATCTTTACTATTTTCAATTTTGCATTTAAATAAATACATTTGGCTAAACGACACACTTTTTTAAATAAATTAGAGTTAATTTCGTGTATATTCTTTGAAGTCCTCACTTGTGTTGTAATTACGTTCCTCATATAGTTCATAGAGCCTTTTTCTGCTTTTGTAGATTTCTGGTGTAGCCCACACACTAAAAGTTATAGGATTACTAATACTATTTTTTTTGGGACAAAAATCTTATTGAATTCTGTACAATAAACATCAAAAAAATCTTTGGGATTACTTTTATGTTACAAATGATACAATTTACTATCTAATTGATTTTTAAAACGTTCCAAACAATTCATACTTTTTGACATAACTATAATGTCTCTCCTAGCCACAAACGTGCATTTATGCGGAAAGCTAACTATTTGTCCAAAATGATCTGACGGTAGTGTTTAATTATCTTTTTTGAAAGTGATATCAGATCTGTAAATATGTTGTCAATAAATGTGGACGAAATAGCAGTTACTCTAGTATGTGTGCAATATTATAGGCCATAAATAGATTTACAAGTCTTGTATTTGAATTGGAGTTTCCTAATAAATCAACGTTAAAATCACCCCCAATCACTAATCGTTTGCCTTTGATATATACCTTTTTTAATGCTTCATCCATAACTATTCCAAAAAAATCATAATGAGAAACTAAACTTGAAGGAGGTCTATATACGCCCAACAATCAGCTGGTCCAGCTCTATGCAAGCAATCTCTATTATTTTCTCAACCGATAGGCTCACTATATCTCTACGTTCTTTAAATTTAAACTTTTTATTTAATAAAATTAGTGCGCCACCACGCATTGCTTTTTTCCTAATGAACGCGCTACCAACCAGGTGATTATTGAAGTTAAAAATGCAATTATAACTTGTTAACCAATGTTCCGTAACACAGAAAATATCAACATTGTAACAGTTCATGAATAATTCTACTTCTAACACGTAAGCTTATCGTTACAGATGGTTTCTGCCCACCACCGCAGCTTCGCCTTGCTGGCCGGCTTAGCCGGCCAGCCTCAGCCGCGGCGGTAGTCGTTAAAACCACCTGCTTCTCAGCTCGCGGGCCACCTCGCCCCTCCGCGTCTACGCGGGCTTAAATTACACTCTAGGAGTCAGACAAACAAGACTACGTGATGTCGGTTATACGGCGGTGTCAGTTTTTTTTGCACATTTAAAATTAGAAATGCTAAAATGAGAGCTTTTAATATTTAAGCGAAATGAACATATACCAATATATTTTAGTGGATTTCATATTAGGAATTCTAAAATTAGGGCTTTCAATTCTGAGACCAAACTATGATAGTGCCAAAACAACTGTTAGGCTAAACAATAATTGTACGTTATAAGTTTAGGCCAATACAGTTCGGCCATGTTAAATTAGGACTTATAATTTTAGGCGAAGCAAAGGGCACCCCTTTACTAAACATTCCTTGAACATTTTGGTGCACTAGGTTGATGACTGATAAACTCTTGGTTCCATTATTACTTTGTCTATTCAATAGCAAGCAAGAGGAATCCTCTGTTGTCTTAATATCTAATTTTAAGACGAATTTGTCGCAATGTCAGTAGGATTATTACTGACAGCCATGTCAATAGAAGAGTGCTCAATAGGAGCAATCCTGTTACCAAGTTTTTGGCTGTTATAGAAAAAAGATATGATAGCGAAATAGCTATCTGTCTAATATAATAATCGGAAAGATAATATTCATCTTTAATCAAATATAATTTTCTAACATAGTTGTTATTGTCAATGACATGAAACTTTGCAGTATTGCATGTAGTGTGCAATGTCATATTCAGTTTGTATCGCAAATTATTATCTTCACTGGACAAACTATTGCAATACGGCAACGTAAAAATCACGACTTTCCCAACACTTAATAAATTTAATTCGTTTATATATTTCAATAGTTTATGTTTGTTCAAAGTACTTCGATTGCCAATAAAAAACAGTAATGTGGTATTTTCGCTGTAGTTTTGTTTAATTGCTTTTTCTAAAATATCACTAAAATAGGTATTAGGCATACAGAAGTTTAATGTTGAATGGCCCTTATCGAATAGCAAACGGCCCATGTTTTTTCTAATTTCATCACTGAAGTTTAAAATATTATTTTTATAATTTTGTGAATTTATTGAGTGGCGTTGCGAAAATTGTGATGGAGAGAAGCAGTGTGGGCTTCTAATGTAAGTTGCCAGCAAAATTAACATTTTCCACACATTAATAACGTTGCCATCGACATTAATAGCATCACGGTAGGTAAGTAGATGATAAATTTGTCCTTGTATCTTGTGCAATTATTATATTATACAAATACAAATTTGAATTTTATCAGAAAGAATTATGGTATACTACCTTGAAACAGGGCATGAAATTGCTCTGTATAATATCCGTTGTGCCAAAATACGTCATTTGAAAGCAGTTGTTATGTTTTTAGATGTTGGCCAAGAAGTGTTTAGAGTCATTTCCCACCCCAGATACATATGAGCGTAATGGATCTGGTGGTTGGGGCAAATTTAGACAATTTAGCTTTACCACCAGTATAATATAATATAGTAGATTTTCCGTCGTATTTAACGCATTACAAGAGTTTTCGGCACAATAATCTACTTTCGGATATTAGTGGAAGACCATACGTTCCAGGTTTACAGGAGCATTACTTCTGCGGTACTGTTTGATTTCGTTGCGTCGTGCTCGCTGTTGATATGTTTGTTGTGCCCGAATTCGTTTCATTCTAAGCTTGACTACTTTATTATTATTCACTCTAGAACGCAAATCTGCAATAACAATACGAATGTTATCGTTATTTATCTCTCGCTGGTCATCAGTGTAGTTTTTATCTCTTTTAACCGTTTGCTTTATAGTGCTTTTGGGTAAAGGTGTATTACTTCTTACTACGTCCGAATAACTTTTCTTATTTGAATCTATATTGGCCATTTTAATCAGAAATAACTGATATGGCTAGAAGATGTCCACTACAAATAATGCACATTAGAACCTCCGAGGTGCAGTCTTCGTAAGAATTTGTGCAAAAATACTTTAGAATTATGTGCATATTTCAAACAAACATGATTGTCCTACACACTTTTGCCAATTAATTGAATTTTAAACACTCAAAGCACTGCATTACAAGTGGGATATATTCTGAAACTTTGTCCCTTAAATGTCTACAAAGGTTAGCCGAACCAAGTCACAGCCAAGTTTCTTCATAAACATTCTGACCGAGATTATTTCACTATCTGAAAACAACTTCTGATTGAGTTCACTACAGCTCATTTCTTTCAGAATGTATCTCACTAACCCCTATTCTTTCCACAGGATAAGCAGAGATATATGCTCATATTTTATTTTCTACGTGGCATTCATTTGAAAGTAAATTAATCGCAGGAGCTATCATTATCTTTTTTGTACTAACTCTATGACTTTCCTGTATTCCATTTACATCTTTGAATAACTTTGATACAGCTAGAGGTTTTTTGATTCCCAACCTTTCATTATTTTGGCTTTGTACCTCAACGGCTATCGGTTCACGATAATGTTTCACTTGCATAGATTATCACTGGTTCATCATACTGATAAATGATACTGAATGACACGAATATTTATGCTAGCTCCCCAAACGCCGCCCGTTCATTCTGGATTCGAGAAGAGATTTCTCTCTCGAAGTTTGATTTGCCTTGCTGGATTGTTTGTTCAAGGTGATCGACAACTTTAAGTGCAGTATTAACAATTATAACTGGATGGATACAACATGGACGTTTCATTTGATGTATAGGGAAGAGAGCGTAGTAGATCTTTTCCAGTTGATATAACGATATTGCACGACCACCTTTGGATACCCAATTTCCCATTAAGTTGATACGGATATGTATCAACTTAATCGAATAAATCAACTATGATAGAAGGAGGGACAGACAGACAGAGTATGATCTTATAAAAGTTCCATTTTTACTTTTAAAAACAAAACAAAATCGTGAAATATGTAACTTGAAAGATTTCATTAAACACTGATTGAAAAGTTTAATATTCAAAAACATAAAATTCTTTTAAATCTACAGCATTTCATAAGATAGATTGAATAACAAATAGACAAAAAGAAAAATATTTTGCTGTAAAATTAATCCAACTTGTTTTTGTTTTAATCCTCCACTTTATTATTCTGCCGCCTAACCGAATAAACATACCAGATTTGTTAGCAAAGTACTTTTACATATTAGAACATTATGTAAATGGTATGTGTCTGTAGAAATGTAACCTGTAAATAATGAGCTGTTGCGGGTTTGTAAGGTAAGAAACTCAAAATTCAGAAGACGTTATCGTTGTTCTCTAATTTTTAATGTAAATCAATCCCATCAAAAACAACATGTACAAAAATACACACGTCTCACAACGCAATTCTTCTGCCGTAAAAAGTTATGAAATCAACGTAAACCAAGTCGATAAAATCAGAACCTATCTTTCCGTGGGAGCAGCTATCCATCCATCCTTGTCTTAGATTTAGGGATACTTAACAAACGCACACAACATCATTATATAGATACCTACATTTAAATGAACTAATTTTAGATAGATTTTGTTTTATGTAAGAATCTTTTACCGTAATGTATCTATGCGTTTGCCAAGTAGCAAAAACTTTGTATTGCATATACTTTAGTCTTTGTTATATTGCTTAACAACCAACGAGTAATGTAAACAACACATTGCCGGATGTTTTCAAAATGCTAGTACAGTTATAAAAAATCCGCAAAAATAAAATGCGACTAATATTTCATAATGTTAGATTATTTACTTATTTTTTATATTAACTAATAATTGTACCTTAAAATTTTGATGATCTTTGAGTCAGTCAGTGACAAAATTATGGATTTTTAACTTGCAATAATTGTTAAAGCACTTGTTCAAATTTAATGTTATTTAGAAATATGCTTCGTATTGTGCTATCCTCTTCAAATTTTAAGGTTATATTTTACTCCAGAATGAAGTTACAGCGGTTCAAAAATGGCCCGAATGGTTTCGAGAAAAGATAGTAGCACCATGCCCCGTTTACTTTTTTGTCGACTTGGCGAGCAGACGACGCAAAAACATATACGGATATTAAGGACATTCGTGAATTTAGGTTTTGTTGGTAAGTGAGAATTTCAACTCCACCTCCAGTTGGTGATAAAATACCGGTTTCAAATTCTAGAGATATACATCGCCACCCCTCAACCAACATCGTTTGAATTTATTCCAGAAACTATTCAAGTCAACATCCCATGTAAATTAAATCGTCCTCACGAACCATTTTATTCTGATCCTCAACTGGAACCGGATGTATTTATCATATGGATGCTCAAGGTCAACTTGCCTCTGCAAACACTTAAGGACTCAGTACATCCAGAAGATACCCTCTTTGCCATCAGCATCCTCCGGAGAGACATGCGGAGAACAAGAACCTGACAAGCACTCATTGAATCTCAGAGTCCTAAGAAGGTCTGAAGGGTGGCCACAACCTTGACTGGAAATGCGGTCAAAACACGACTTATTGCAAAAGATTATTTGTAAATAGTCAAATTATTAGATTTAAGTGGGTTTACAAAGTCAAGAAGAATACCAACGGGGAAGTTGCAAAATAAGGTTAAATTGAAAAGCCGTGGGGTTCGACACTCGCTTATGCTACTAAACTTAACTTAGATATTGGCTACCTAGATGTTGAAACAGAATTTCTCCACAGCGATCTAGCATTTACTCTCTGAAATCTGTAAATAAAGCACCTACATTCTCTCTCTCATCAGCGACATCTTTTCCTACTCGTCGCCCATCACCTTTCAGTAGAATAATAATCAAAGTGCTATTAAACTCACTTAAATCAACAAACCCGCACGAAGCACATTAACATTCTACATCATTTTGTTCGTGATATGACGAAAACAAGACAATATGACATTAATTCCATCAGATTAACGAACTGCAGAAATCCTCATAAAACCGCTGCCTAACTTGAGACACTGTTAGTCAGTTCCTAACAATTTTAGGGTAAGCTTAGTGTTTTATTTAGAGTGTCATTTGTTTTGTGTTGTTTGCATAGTTAGGTTAATTAGTTAATAGGGGGCTAGTGGGGGATATTACATACAGTGGGTTATATACATGGTGTACATAAGTAGTCTAAAGTCTGGATTAAACCTATGTATTAATACACAATTCCTGGCAATGCTTTGTTGTTACTGTATTGACATTGTGTTTTGTACACTTTTTATTTTATGATTTTTGACACTTTCTTCTTGTCTGACTTTTTGTACTATATGCTTACTTATACATAAAATTAAATCCTCCAGTGCACTGCATATTCCACTTCATGATATATAGTAGAGATTCATTGCTAAAGTCGTAGCAAAATTTTTCTTCATTCAAAAATGAGGACCAGCCTTATATTTACAAAGATCTGATCTCGCAAACCTGAGCAAAGTTTTCAAGTTGTTATAGTTGATTCGGGTCTTATAATCGACAGACATAATTTATTGAGGCATAAACATAGAATAGCGGTGTGTGATCGGTGAAAATAGTTAACCCACGCTATAATCATGTTTGGAAGTGTGATATTGACATGTTAATTACTAGTAGCTAACTGGCGATCAATATTGTTACATCTGACTTAAAGTTTAGAAACTAAAGATAGTGAGAAATTAATAGAACCTGCGTCTGTTTTCAACTTTATTTAATAATAACGCTGCATAATCGCGACGTTGTTTTAGGGTTTCATACCCAAGAGTAAAACTACCATTTTAGGATAACTAAAACCCTCCTATTACTGAGATTTCGTTGTCCGTCGACAGAAAGACGTTCTGTCTATACTATACTAAAGTATATGGTAAAGATGTATTTCTATTGCAACCATAATCTCAAATACGAAAAAACAGAATAAAACAAATATTTAAGGGAGCTTCCATACAACAAATGTGATTATGCTGTTTTTAAATACTTCGTGCTCAAGTCGACTCTTACTTGGACCATTTTTTTCCTTTTTGAGTAAAGACTTCTATTGCGTCATTCATTTTCATATGTCTGTCTAAGTATTTTTATCCTGTAGATATTTATTCAAGCACGCTTGGTATCAGGATTCGTGTTAAATATTTTATCTACAGAAATTTATTATTCCAAAGAAACATCTTTGTAACAGTACACTTTCGGGGTGCGGGTAATCTGTTATAGCCTTAATCTTCTCTGGCAATGGAGTTATACCTTGGATGTGATTAGATAGCCGAGATATTAATTTTGTTTTGACCGAACTCGCATTTTTCTTTATTAATTGTAATTCCCTATTCGCATTATCTTATCAAAGAAAATTAAGATCAGTCAGAATTTAAAAAAAAATGACATCAATTTTACATCATAAAACATCTCCTATCAACAATGTGCCCATAACATAATATTTACAAGGAAGTTCTTGGATAGTTAAATAAATATGAAGGTAAAAAAGGGTAGGATAACACGCAAAAAAATAAGAATTAAAAGATAAAAATCGTTTATGATACAAACAAAGTAAGATTGTCAATGGTTAAACCCTACCATTTAAAAGTTTAGGACCCATTAAAGTGCTATTCTATCTATCTTTTACTTGTTGTATGCGCTCAAATTGATATTCTATTATTCATGTCCAAGCACGATGTGAATCTACAATAAAATGACTGAATCCGTAATATATCTGGTACAGTATGTTTCCCCGACGTTGGTTTCCGTTTGAGACAGGATTTATCCGTCAAAAGGATATCAAAACCGGCACGGGCGCGCCTCTTATAAGTGGAGTTTTAGTAATCCGAATAATTTTACGTCCTATTTGATTCAACCTCCATAGCAATCTTTTATTTTCGTCTCATCTATACATAGCATAAAAACAAAGTCATTTCCCGCTGTCTGTACCCTAAAATCTTAAGCACATGCGATTTTAATACAGTTTTTAA